CCAAGTCATGACCTGAAAAATGGCATTTGCTTCTTATCTCTACTTTGTCAAACTTTATTTATCCAACAAAACAATCTTACTTATTTGTATTCCTTCTGGACACACTGTCCTGGATTTTATTTATTGAATTATGTGGTTATCCTGAAAGCAAGATAAATTTGGAGAACAAATTTTCTAAATACATGTGACTCATAGCTTCTTTTTTGATTTGGGAGCCACCGAAAAACACAAGATAAGAAATCCTTCCTTCTGCCTTACCTACCACTTCCTCCAAATAGTCTCAGAAGTAAATCCCGAGGATTAACTTGACCAACGTTCTAACACCTCAGCTGCACAGTGGTCAAAAAGAGGCTCTATCTTTTTTTTGTTGTTGTTGTTGTTAAAAGCATGGATTAAATATTTATTGGTATGGTGATTAAATCACATTGCAGTGTATTTCCAGGAAATGTTTTCTTGATTTCCCTGCCTACTAAAGCCATGGGTTTTGTTTTGTTTTGTTTTGTCCCCCCCGGCACTCAGTATCTGTGCAGAGAAGAGCTTCCTGACTTAGGGTTCAGCTGGAACCCTTCATTCACTGCGTCATGGTGCGTACTTGAGTTGCATGTGATCTGATAACACACCAGCCCTGAGACTTTCATGCTAATCACTTTCTCCTTAGGATGTCTGGTAGGACTTTCCTCTGATGAGACAATTCCATTTCACTGCTACAGAAAATTCCTTTGGCCTGTCTGTGTTCCCAGCCAACTTGGTTGGCCAATCACTCCGTAATGGACCCTCATTCAGCGGCAAGTTGGCTTTATTCTTTCAGTCAGTGCTTCTCCGTCTTGAGCATCAGTGATCGGTTATAGGCCTGAGGGCCCTCCCCCAGAACTCAGCACCAGTCCCCTCTCGGAGGGCTGCCTGGAAACAACAATGATAACAGCACAGTTCTTTATGTTTTTCCTTTTACAGGAAATTGTCCTCAGCCTGTGAATCGAAAAGAACATTTTATTTTTCTTTCTTCTGCCTACCTTCTCCCTTCAGCCCACCCCTTCTGAAACAATGACAGTCTTGCCATCTGGTCTTCTTAACCCTTGGCTGAAAAAGCAAAATTTTTACGTGATTGATGTTTTGAGTATAAATTTGGAGCTTG